TCCCTCTCTCCTCACAGGAGGAAAAATACTTTGGGCAGCTTTTACAGGAAAAGATATTAAAAGTCTTAAAGAGAAGATCAGATCTCACCCAGTTTCATCCACGTTGCTTTAAAGGTGCTTGGTGATTTTGACTTCGGCTGTCAGCAGCTTAGTGATGAGCAATATTTCTATGGCCGGTCTTTCCCCTGCCGGTTTGGAGGGCTGCACGGAATCAAGTGGAAGGGCTGCCACCCTCCCACAATCAAGTGGGGGTCCCCTCCTTGCTCATCGCCCCTACAGGGCGACTTTTGACCCTTTCCAGGGTCCCCCAGTGGGACGAATTTGGACACGAAAGACGGAGCTCATCTTCCAGCATCTTCGGCACCGCGATGGCAAACTGGAAGCCCTGATCTACTCTTAACTGTCTATTTTCAGGATCCCTCCTTTCATCTAATCTAAACAGCTTGTCATTTATTCCTTCTCTTTCTCCAGGCAGTTTTCCTTGGAGACAGAGTCAGGAATGGTGGCCTATAGAACTGAAGACAAACATTCCAGACAATTGTTAAGGAAGTTAAAGCATATCCGTGACCCACAATAATTGCTGGTAGATAAAACTGAAATGGTATTCTGAAGGGGAAAAGCGACAAATTAATAGAAATGGCAAGCTAAATGTTTTAAAGAGTTTCTCTTCCTCATTCTTCATCATATATATACATGCCATTTTAAACCTGTGATTATTAGCATGAAAAAACCCCATTCTCTAAATTTGCAACAGTGTTTTTGGTATAAACATATTTTTTGCAATTTAGCTAATTGTGGGTATACGGGTGGTAAAATGACCTAAATGACTGATTAACCTCATTACCCAGCTGTTGTGGTACATTCTACCTTCTCATTTAACAAGGATCACATGTTTGTAGACTGAAGCTCAAAGTAACAGAATTATTTGTTTCTCTTAAGAAACTTCAGACCAGCTGGATTATACAAGTCACTGCTAAAGGAGCAGAACGTTGGTCACTAGTCTACAATTGCTGGAACAGCAGCCAGTGAAAAAACAAGCAGCAAGAAGAGATCTGCATATTTAAACAAGAAGGGGTACCCTGACACATCATTCAAATTCTGCAATGCAGAAGTTTTCCTGGCAGCAGAAACGGCACAAAAGATGCAATTAACTCTGCATTTGGCAGAACCTGTAGGATCGAAAGAGTTTAGACTTCTATTGATATGAGAGTTTCCACTTACAGAGCCAATCTGCACCTTGGCATTTGAGCTAGTTTGACCAATTCAATAAGCCAAAACCTACCGAGCCATAGTATATAATGTAGTGTGTTGTATAAATTCAATCATTGATTTGTAAATAATGGTTAATGTTTGCTTATTTTGTACAAATTAGTAATTATTAAATAAACCCTAGTTTGGTTAAAAAGCTTGGCATGGTATGTGAATTAAGATGCTTTTCTGAAAATACCATAAGACAGGAGTGAAGTAAGCAGAATGAGAATGTGTTAGAGTAGGGATACATATATCTTGAGTGGGATGCCCCAGGGCTCTGTTCTGGTCCCAGTGCTCTTCAACATCTTCATCAATGATTTGGATGAGGGGATAGATGGGAAACTCATCAAATTTGCAGATGACACCAAGCTGGCAGGAATAGCCAACACTCCAGAAAATAGGCTTAAGATACAGGAGGATCTTGACAGAATTGAACATTGGATACAATCTAACAAAATGAAATTCAATGGTGAAAAAGTAAGGTTCTACATTTAGGCAAGAAAAACCAAATGCACAGGTATAGTATAGGTAGTACCTTGCTCAATAGTAGCAACTGTGAAAGGAATCTTGGGAGTCCTAGTGAGCAATCCCTTAAATATGAGCCAGCAGTGTGCTGCAGCTGCCAAAAAAGCCAACACAGTGCTAGGCTGCATTAACAGAGGGTAGAATCAAGATCACGTGAAGTGTTAATACCACTTTACAATGCCTTGGTAAGGCCACACTTGGAATACTGCATTCAGTTTTGGTCACCAAGATGTAAAAAAGATGTTGAGACTCTAGAAAGAATACAGAGAAGAGCAATAAAGAAGATCAGGGGACTGGAGGCGAGAACATATAAGGAACAGTTGCTGGAATTGGGTATGTCTAGTTTAATGAAGAGAAGGACGAGGGGTGACATGATAGTAGTGTTCCAATATCTCAGGGGCTGCCACAAAGAAGAGGGAGTCAAGCTATTCTCCAAAGCACCTGAAGACAAGAAGTAACAGATGGAAACTAACCAAAGAGAGAAGCAACCTAGAACTAAGGAGAAATTTTCTGACAGTTTAGAACAATTAATCAGTGGAACAACCTGCCTCCAGAAGCTGTGAATGCTCCAACACTGGACGTTTTTAAGAAGAGACTGGACAGCCATTTGTCTGAAATGGTCTAGGGTTTCCTGCCTGAGCAGGGGGTTGGACTAGACCTCCAAGGTCCCTTCCAACTTTATTGTTGTTGTTGTTGTTATCTCGCTATGCTTCAGATTATGTACTACCAAGTTGATGTCATCTCTGATCATATAGGTCTTCTCCATGATGATTTAGTAGATTAGAACTCCTTATGTTTATATTTTTTATCCTCTGGATGGACAGACACAAGCAATTTCTAATTATCCACAATGCCCTAAATTCATAACAGGATTTGTGGGAATTTGTGAATGATGGCAGATCTGTGATATAGAAAAGGGCACACAGAGGATGCTTCATTAATGTTCCTCAAATCTAAAATCAACCAAATCTTAGAATGGAAAATATGCCAATTTAAAAATTGGCTTGGTGGAGTTGCAACGAATGGCCATGGTTCCATGATCCTTGTCTATTCCAGAGTCCCCATGACAAAAGGTCCTATCACATCAGGTTAATCAACTTGTTTTAGTGTCCAAGGCAAAAAAAAAAAAATCTTACTTATGCCTCTTGTGGACTAAAGTATCAGTAATAAAATTTTCTCCCTTTCATTTAGAATCTGTTACCCATGGAAGCCACTTTAACTCTTCCTAAAGATGGCAGTGATCCTAAGACATGTATCCATTTGATGCCTTCCAGATGTTCTGGATTTATCATGCTGACCGTGCACTGAATTCCATATAACATTTAGAGAATATATCTAAATGTAATGGACAAATAATGGATAAAAGGAACCTACCCTGATTGCAAGTTCCAGAACTCTTTCAGAGCAGCTTATTGCTTAAATTACTAAACATATAAATACATTTTAGGAATGTAGCATTCTAATTTTAGGAAACTATCAAAAAAAACAAGGAAGTGAGAAATTTGGAAATTGCTGGTGCATGCTGAATTAACAATTTACACTGTTAAGGATAATCCAACTGGGATTTGCTTCAAATGCTCAAGGATGTAAACAAGGTACTATATAAACCATTATCTTCATGTTGAGGCTGGGCACAATTTTCTATTCTCCTCTTGTGCAGTAAATAAAGTTTAACTTGTTATTAAGAGTGTGGTTCTCCACTCACTAAAGGGTTTGAGGAATTTTCCCCATCAGTGGAAAGGTCAATCTACATTTATCTTCTATTACTGTCAAGGACTGGGCCAAGATGTTTTGAAGCCTGAAATAAAGGAAATTCAATTTTTTTTTGCTTCTGATGCTTAAAAGCCAACTGAGTTTTCAATCTTGAAAAAAATCACTTTTAAATTTAGTAAAGGAGTGATGCAGTATGTGAGGGAAACAATTTAGTAAAGGAGAGATACAGTATGTGAGGGAAACAATATACATGAGAAAATGGCACATGCAGTACTCAAATGCAAGTGGTAATTATTTCCCTAGTAAAGACATTAGTTTTGGTATACAATACTGATCTTTTGGTGGATGCAGAATGTTCAAATAGCTCTTAGTTTTGAATCAGTAAACTCAGTTTACTACCCAGTTTAAGAGAACTAGTTTGGTCTAGTGCCGTGGTGGCGAACCTATGGCACGCGTGCCGCAGGTGGCACGCAGAGCCCTCTCTGTGGGCACAGGGGCCGTCGCCCCAGTCCTAGGCCTTCAGCTGGGTTTTATAAAACCTTTTTCGCTTTAGGCCTCCGCCGCTGTGTGCAAAAAAAAAAAAAAGGTTCAATCAATCAGTCAATTTCAACTTCTCGCAGGAAAAAAAAGATCTTGCAAAGTTGGAATTGATTGAACTTTTTAGTCCCACCTAGTCTGCCGTTACCACTGCAGCCACGCCCACCCAATGGGCCACACCCACCCGGCACCCGATGATGCATAAGTGGGTTTTGGGTTGCAGTTTGGGCACTCAGTCTCTAAAAGGTTCGCCATCACTGGTCTAGTGTTTAGGAGACTTGAATTCCACTTTAGGCATAAAGGCTAGTTGGGTGACTTTGGCTCATTCACTATCAACTCATATCAGGCTTGGGTGACAAGCCACAAGATCAATTCCTGTCACAACCTATATATAACTGCTTAACTACTTTAACATCGATTCCCAATGGATTGCTGAACACCCAGACATAGAAAGACATATAGATGATCCTACACAAAAGGTGCCAGGCTCTGAACAACTTCACTAGCAATGAACAATCATGAATAGGATTTGCACCCCACATGATGTCTGCCGGAATTCACTGTATAAATGTATACCATAAATGTACACTGTATAAATGGGGTATAACATTCTCTCCTCAGTGTGACTACAGGGTTCCACCTCAAACTGTAGATCACATAATGACTGCCTTAAGCTGAGGGCGTATACAGATCCAGTTTCTGATTTCTTTCAGATAAATGATACACTTCGATGATTAGAAGGCCTACACATTGTTATATAAATATAGATCTTTTTAACATTCATATTTTACTGTGTTTTTAATTTAAGTGGAGTGTTAATATACATTGTAAGTTCGTGTATGTTATGTCATATGATAAATAAATAAACATGTAAAAATTAACACTAGATGCCCACTAAAATCTACACCTCTATTTGAAAAAATAATCAGGCAGGCAGAAAATTTTGCAGAATAGACATTTTGTTCACTTTTTTATTTAAATAATTATCTCCTGTTACATAATATAAACCCAATTCTAACATTGGCAATTGTAATTTGCATTTTCTTAGAAATGGTTTGCGTATCTTCAAATTAAAACAATATATTAAAACAAGACAAAGGCTACAGCTTTAAGGCAGCATTAAATAATCCAAGGCTAACTTCACTGATGCTCTTCTTCTAGGTCACATTTGCATGCAGGCTGTACATAGAAATGTATAGCACCAATGCAATGAAAGTAAGGTCCCAAAACAAATCTTGCTAAAACAGAGCTGCCCTGTTGTGGCTCAAGTTTCCTTATACAGCAGAATAATCTACTGATGTTTCATTATTAGTTTTTGCTAAGCAGCTAAAAAAGGACAGAATTAAAAAAGAGAAACACTGAACATCATCTAGCTGAGTGCTTTTTCTACTAAAACAAAAGGAATTTCATTAAAAAACATTTATTTTCTCTTGATTCTGTGGATCTGGAAGCTCAAACTGGATTTAGTTCACTGTTATAAGTTGATATTCCACATAGAGGAAGCTCAACATACTGTATGAAGACAGGAGGTAGCTAAATGGGTATAATTTTCATTCGCTATTAAATTAAGAGGTCATAAGCCCAATGATAAAATCAGGATTTATAAACAGTCAAGTTGGGCTAAGTTTAACTCACTTCATAGTAGGCTGTTTTGCCCAGATGTTAAGGCTTTCTAACACAGTTACAGCTATTTATTTTGCCTCTGTCACTACAGATGCTTGCTACATCATTATGCAAACATGACAAATTCATTTCATTTACATCTGAGTTTCACTCAAGTGCACTAAACATATTCAAGACTGCGCTGGAAGCCACTAAAAAAATCTATTTATCACTATACTGAAGCTTCCAACAGTTGTATTATTTAAAGTAAAAGGAAGACCAGTCATCTGAATTTTGTGTGTGAGATTGTGTACATGTGTGTGTTTGTCAAAGCTGACTGGTTTAGCATATCTGTACAAATAAATTATGAATTTAAAAGGTATTTCCAAGAGTCTGAAATTTCATTTTATACTCAACATATGTTTAACAGCTTCTGTAAATGCATTAAATGTACTATGAATGTATCAAAATGCATTTCAAAAGTGGCCATCATCATCATCATCATTACCAACTTTATCATCATTTTTGTTTAGAATCATATAAGTAGATGGTCATAAAATACTGCAGAGATAAGGAAGATGGCTTTGAAGGAGATATGCAGAAACCATTACTTAAGCAAAAGGGATTGAAGCATTTTTTTTTAAAGTCCACAACAAGAAGATAACATTCAAAAGTGGCTCAGGCAGATGCCTCCCTAATTCACTGAAGTGTAAGAAGGAAGAGGAGGTGCAGCACAATCAGATACACAAGATTCTGTTATTACAGCCATTCTCAAAGTAAGTCTTCCTGCAAAGCTAATTTCCAGGTCTGGTCTACGTAGTGGGGCTGATCAATATCCTGTTCAGGATCTGAAATCTTGATTAGCAAATTGTTCACTGGGAATCATTAACAAACTCTGAAGCCACAGAACATTTAATGGTTGTTTTCCTTATATCTTATGTCACATAAAATAGATTCTCCAAATTCCTGAGTCTCATTGTGTTAAATTGTGGTTGCCAAAGGAAAATTCCTCTAAAATAGACTGCATTCAACTGTATGTATTCCAGGTTCTGATCTGCTCAAGAATGTTCACGTCAATATTTCAATGTTTTGCTTGTTTTTCCTGCTCTTTTGTAAAAAAAATCTCTGCATTTCTGGACCTTAATGTTTCTCTTTTTTTTTAGATCTTCATTTCAAGAACACTTGCTAACCTTTATCTTTTAACATGGATACATAACACTTTTTAGATTATTTTTTTTTGTTCGTACTGGCCAAAGAGTATATTTTAATATTTAATTCTGGTATAACTCCCTCATTTTGGCCTGCAGACCATCACAAGTCTTCTTAGCATCCCCTAGAAGCATGGCAGTGTTGGGCTTGTAAAAGATAGGGTTGTCAACGGCTGCATATCCAACACCTAGAGATCTCTTCATTACAATCACCTGAAACAAAGACTTTTGCGTTATATACACAGCATTTTTGCAGACATTCATAAAATCAACATTAAGAAAAAAATGAACTAATATGTTAGGTTTGTAGAAGTCTGTTATTTGTTTATTTATTAAATTTATATGCCATCCATCTCACTCTCTAAACTGATTCTGGGTGGCTTACAATGCTATAAAAACATAAATATAAAAACCTTAACATTAACAATAATTGAACAAAGGCTAAAAACCAAGAGGACAAAATGGTGCGGGATTGGGCTTTTATCCTTCTATCACTCAACCAATCATCTTCAGCGTAGTAGTCCCCCATCAGAGCCCCAGGCCAACTGGCAGAGTCAGGCTTTAAGGCCTTCCAAAAGGCCAGAAGAGTGGAGACAAATCTCACTTCCAGTGGCAAAGTGTTTCAGAGGTGAAGGCCATGGCACAGACCATCCTAGCTCCATGGACCCTCCGTTTTAACAGGGTTTAGCCAAAGTCTGTGTCCCCCCCTCCCCCTCCGGGTACCGCAAAACGGCAGCACAGCAAAATTTAGGTTGCCCGGGATGGAAATGTAAAAGCTAAATACCTCATCCTGTGGTATTGGATAATCTCAGCCAGCATTTTCATGTAGATGTTAAAAAGGAGCAGAGAGAGTACCATGCTAGTGGTACACCACAAAGGAGTGGCCATGTGCTGGAACTTTCATCTTCAGACTTATACAGTGCTATTTTAATACTGCCTTTGACTGATTTATAGACATCTTATATACTGCTTTTTGCTGATTGTTGTTAGCCACCTAGGGTTCATATGTAAGATGGGCAGCAATATGTATTTTCTTAAATAAACAAATGTACCCAGCTAATGAACTCTTTATCAAATGTAATTCAGAGATTATATGTATAGGGTAAATTTAATTATATCACACAATCACAGATGGTATAAGTGGGATAGGTTTAATTCCTTTACAAAACTAAGGATAATAATAATAATAAAGTTGGAAGGGACCTTGGAGGTCATCTAGTCCAACCTCCTGCTCAGGCAGAAAACCCTATACCATTTCGGACAAATGGCTGTCCAGTCTCTTCTTAAAAACAGGATAGGACAGGCAATCTATAGGCATTATAGAAACCTATTCCAATCCCTTGCTCAATTTAGAATCCACTAAATCTACAATAATAGGAGACATCCAGTATTTTTTTTAAAAAACCCAGCAAGAGAGAACCCATTACTGTTCTAGAAAGACCATTTCACTGTTTTAATAGTTCTTGCCATCAAGAAACTCCTCGTAATAATCACCTTTCTTTTAATTTCAACCCACGGTACCCTGTCCTATTCTTAGCTTTTAAGATGCCTGTAAATGACTACCAGATCTCCTTTCAGCCTTTTCTTTTACAAGCTAGTCCCTGGCTTCTTTAAAATTTCCTCTAGGTGGTTGGTTTTCAAACTCTTTATTATTGTGATAATTTCCTCTGAATCTACTCCAGCTTTAACTCCCAGAACTAGATGAATATTCAAAGTGTGATATAACCAGGACAAAGCACCTAGAACCATTATCTGTCATAATCTGGGCACCATCCTTTCCTTAATACAGCCCAAGATTCCCTTGATCTTTTTAACTGCTGCATCACAGCAACCTTTTCACCACATGGAGTTCCCTGAAATTTTATTCTTCTGATTTTTATCTCTCCCTCTCTTTACAATGAGTCTTAGGCTCATTGTACATTCCAAAATATATTATTTCTTCAAAACACCATAGAAAGGATTCTATTTGTTATGTAACATAATTTCTAAAGCTTATCTATGGATTGTGGTGATAGAGGATATACAGAGCTCTAGCTGATAATTACTGGCCCTCAGTTTTTAAAAAGCAAAAATAAGGAAGAAGCCTTTCGTCAATTACAACTAAGAAAAGCTAAAAGCTCTCTTAAATTAAAATAATTTTGATGGTATCCACTTTTTTCACCTATCAGTTCTTCAAAGATTGAATGATCTCAAGACGATATGGGGTTCTTGACCAATGTATCAAAGAATGCAGCTAACAACACAATTGTTTTTCCTCATAAAAATCATGGTTTTAACTGTGTACTTTTAGTATACCCATCAGTCCACTAAAAATAATGGGGTGAGGAAAAAAGGGTGTTAATGGCACGGCCTCCAGTGGACAGTTTTCAAATAATTGTATTCTTTTCCTTATCATCTATGTACTCCTCTACACTTATTAGCATTTTGACTTAAGCTGTTCATAGAAAAAAAGAAGAGCTGCGGGATATCAGCAGATTTATGAATATGTAAATGACTTTAAAGAATTCAATAAAGCATGGAATTTCTACTACAATGTTTTGTCACTCACCTGCTTTGCCTTCCAAACTTCAAGAACAGGCATTCCAGCAATGATAGAATTTGGATCTTCTTGGGCAGCTGAATTAACCGTATCATTAGCTCCAATGACAAGGACCAGATCCGTTTCTGCAATAAAAATACAAGAAAAAAAACACATATTCATTAATGAACAGAACTCCAATTATTATTAGTAACATCTTAAATTCTGGATTAGATATCTCTTAATCTGAAGTCCCTCATCCCACTAAGAACTATGCATGGGCAAGAATGATACTTCCTAAAACCAGATCTTGGAACACACAACACATTTGTTTTACTTCAAGTTGAAAAACATTGGATATAAATAATGGCTATTTTAATAGTGAGTACTACCTTCAAATTACTATTATCTAAGTTAATAGTCGGGGTGCATAAGAGCAAACCTTCTTGAATTTGCTTCTAATGCAACTTTCTGCTAAGTCAGTGTTTTTCAACCTTGACAATTTTAAGGCATGTGGACTTCAACTCCTAGAATTCCACAGCCAGAATTGCTGACTGTGGAATTCTGGGAGTTGAAGTCCACATGCCTTAAAATTGTCAAGGTTGAGAAACACTGTGCTAAGTGAACCAGGTTAGCTCCAAACTGCAATTTCTCAGAGGCCAGACAACTATGTTAGGCAGAATTTAGTCTTGTTTGTTAAAAAAAAAGTTCTAACTAGTGTTTATTTCTTTTTTATTTTTATATTGTTATTAGGTTGTAATCC